AGAGAAATAGACAGACAGACGCATCCGCCCCTTCCCCCCATCCCCTCCTATCCCCCCTCCCCCTCACCACCACCCCTCCCTCCCCTCCCCTCCCTCCCTTCCTCCCTCCCTCTGCATTATTCATGGCAAAGCAACACAGTCATGAACGAGATAGCGCGAGAGGCGGAGGCGCGACCGTGATCTCGATGCGTTGCCAGAGAAACATGTATCAGCAGCCATTGTTATGCTGATCGCAGTGGACACAGAGAGGGAGAGGAGGCTGCGAATTGCGTGAGGGTGGGGAGGGGGGAGAGAGAGAGGGGTGGGGAGGGGTAGGTGGAGGGGAAGGGGGGAGAGAAGGGTGGGGGAGGGGAGGGGGGAAAAGGGGAAGGGGAAGGGGGAGAGAGAGAGGGGTGGGGAGGGGGAGGGGAAGGGGGGGAGGGGGAGAAGGAGAGAGAGAAGGGTGGGGAATGTGGGGAGAGGAGGGGAGAGAGAGGGGAAGGGTGGGGAGGGTGTGAAGGGGTGGGAGGAGATAGGGAGGGGTGGGGAGGGGGAGGGGGGAACTGAAGCGATACGGGGGGGGAGGTTGAATCGTGCGATGGAGGGAGGGCGAATTGCGCAAGGGGGATGGGGGGGAGGGGGGAGAGATAGGAAGGGAGGGGGGAATTGAACGAAGAAGTTCCGGAATGGGGCGAATTGCGCGAGGGGGGGAGGAGAGGGGGAGGGGGGGAATTGAAGGAGGGCGGGTGGGAGGGGAAGATGGGGGGGGGGTGGAGAAGGGGGGAGGGGGAGAACAGCTCGAAGGGGGCGAAAGACTTTAGGGGGCCGTGGGGGCGGTTGGGGGGGGCGGGGGTGAGAGCGAGGAGGAGAAACTTGATCGCATTGAAGCTGCTCGAACGGGGCTTTTGCCTTCGCGGTGGAATAGGTATGAAGTTTGAAATTACTCTGTTGCATGTACACGTATACAGACACACGTACGTACACACACGTACACACACATACATGCATATACGCGTGTGTGTGTGTGTGATATATATAATATATATATATATATATATATATATATATATATATATATATAAACGTACATATAAATGTGTGGATGGGGGGGAGGGGGGGCAGTAGGTTAAAATGCTTGTGCTTTTAAACAATATTCTCTCTCGCAAAACACTGTTAATTTTAATTTACCCAATGCAGAAATTAAATGTTTAAATGCGGGATCACCACACATTTTCTCGTCATTTAATAATACATTTCCCAACATCGTGTATTCATTAAACATCCCCACAACATGTACTGCAAAAATAAACCCGACCAAAATTTAACAAAAAAGAACGAATAATAAAAATTAAAAAACAGACCAAAAATCCCGCAAACATTGTACCATTTGGTCGTTACTTTCGAATCTTTTGTACGTATTACTTCGTTCATTTTATATTGTTTTGTTCACTTTGTACTTCGTGTCGCTTGTGTGTGTGAGCCTGTTCAAC